CCAAAATTGAATAATCCTCGTACTCTTTGACATAGATTTTCATCATACATAGCATATATCAACGATTACAAGCAAAACAACATCTCGGCTTACGCGTCCTACAAAATATGGACGCGTCTACAAAACTTGGACGGACGTACCTGTAGATGGGGATTGAGGCTTAGACATTACAAGGAAGGCAAAGATAGAAAGAGACAAGTGTTAATATGTTGAAGCACAGAAAGGAAAGAATTCACTAAGGTCCCCAAAAACCTTGGCAAATCATAAATTCTAGTAAATCTCATAAAACACGCGTTGAATTCGCAGCGCATAATAATTATTATTTTGTTATTTCTTAATAAATTGTTAGTTAAGAAGTTTTATATACTTATGATACATATCAGGCGGCGTTCGCTCGTCTCGCACGTCGTCTTAAACTATCCGTACGAGCGCATTATTTATATCACATCGAGCGATTACCCTACGCCGGTACAATTGAAAGTCCTGGCAGTGATCGACTATCTATAATATAATAATTTTCATAATAATAAAAACAAAAAAAAAGGTTCTATATAAATAATGCACGATATATCTTTTTAATTATATTCACTTTACTCAACAAAGTTGCAAGTATAAAATATGATTACTAACTAGAAATTCGTGGAAAACGCTTATTATTGTCAACATTCGAGCGACGTGAACTTAATATAATTACAAAGTATAGATAAATATAGCGACGACATTGATTTCGATGACGATTTTGATGATGTAATAACGAGGACTTAAAGACGCATAAATTATTTTACAAATTGATATAATAATTAAGTCTGGTAAGTTCAAAGAAAGAGCCTATCAAGTCTGTTGGCGCCACTCTCGATTGAACATTGCGTTCATAAATTGTAATCGAATACGAATGCAACGAAAAAAAAAAAATATAGGATAACCTGATTGGACGAGTATACATATAAACAAACAAAAAACAAAAACAAAAAAACTCGCTCGTTCGATGCGCTCAAATTGCGGCATCAACTCCTGTAAACATAAATTTTGCTAGTACAGCGTAACAATCGGCGAGAGACTCTTTCTTTCGCTTGAACAAAGAAAATTGCCTACACAAGTCGAGATAAGCACTGTAAGAAACGTTCCCTAAGAAACGCGAATTCGCGATTATTCATTATTATAATCCTTGGAGATGTCTCTCTCTTTCTCTCTCTCTCTCTCTCTCTCTCTCTCTCTCTCTCTCTCTCTCTCTCTCCAGGCATCGTTACACGGTAGTAATGCGCTCGCGCCTTACTCGGAGATCAGATGATCGCATTTCCACGAGAAATAACTTCCCTTCGCTCGATTGTCCATCGCTTCACGATTGGAGTGCGGATGCTTGCGCAGCGACGGATCGCAAGAAGTTCCGGATATAGGGGAATTGAATGGTGGAAAGGTGATTTGGATCATGGTGAGGGAGCAGCAGTCCGACGTCGAAGCGTGAATGGTGAAGGGGGTGGGGGGTGGGTCGTTTCGATTGTCCATTCTGTTTTCCCTCGATGCAGTCGAGGATACCGGGAAGCGGACGAATGAGATTGAGTCTGTTCAATATTCACATGGCCGTCTCAAGGGGTTGGCTCTTGCTTCTCGCGGCCGTCGAAAGGTGGGTGAGCTCGGTCGGCTCATTGGGCGCAAATGCGTCAAAATTGGTCTCGAGGATGGCTTCGCTCTTCGATCTCAGGGGCCTGTCCTCGTCGAGGTTGGTCTCGAGGAGAGCCTCGCTTCTCGGTCGATCTTCGTAGTAATAGTGGTGGTGGGGCTGGTGCTGCTGGTGGTGAACGTGGTGCGGTACGTGGGGCAGGGTCGCACTATGGGCCCCAAAGTACTCGGGGACGGGCTCCGAGACCGGCGTTATCGGGCTCGTCTCGTAGTGGCTGTCCCCGAGGCCGTTCACGGCGACGTTGTTGTAATCCAACGAGGAATTGGCGCGTAAATCGCGCTTGAGTTCGCTGATGGAGTCGCTTGCACCGAGGCTCGAGTTCAGAGGCAACGTTGACACGTTGTGCAGGTAGCCGGAGGAGACATCCACGTGCTCGTTCATCGGCGTCACCATGTCCTACGGAATCGAGCGAGATTCATGAATGAATAAGATTTCGTCGAGATAAATCTTTGAGCTGGTATTTTGAAGCCGCGCTTTCTCGAGATTTAAGCTATGATTAAGGGATTAAGTATGATAGAAATTGACAACCTTGGGTCGATTATCTATGTATTATTGGATGGGTGAAATAAGATAATTGTTAAAGCTAGATTTTGAAGAAATATGCTGCATGGACATCGGCTAAATAATAAATAATGCGAGAGGGTATTAATTACCTCGGGCGAGGCGACACTGTTGGCCTCGGATTGCCAAGCGCTGTTATTACGCGATGTGAAGGTTGAATGGTTACGAAAACCTTCGTTTCGGTAGGTTAAGTCATAAGCTGGATTGTCACCGACGAATTTCTGTCCAGGTCCCCCGGTACTCGTGCCGGGTGAATAGCGCGGATTGTGCGGCTCATAGACGTCGTAGCAATGGTTATCTTCGAGGGATGAGTTTAGCTGCGACTTGTCCATCGAGTCAAGGCTACCACCGTTCGACATTTTCTTATAGTCCAAGGAACGGGAATTCAATGTATCGGTTGACTGTTTTGTCTAAAAATACCAATGTTTCTTAAATTTATCACCAATGCAAATTCTTGCAACAAAAAAAAAGCTTCGATTTGACTATAATCAAATTTTGATTACACTATATTTGCGTATCTATGCAGTTCAATTTCAATTTATTCTTTCACTTTTATAGAAAAAGTAGAAATACCATACCACATATATATATATATATATATATATATATATATATATATATATAGGAACAATTTATATCGATGTAAATTTAATTTTACAATTAGGCGATATTCAAACATTGTATTGTTAATATTTTTAAAATTCATAAAGACATTCAAAATTTGATAATAAGTATAAGAATATTAAGATAATAATTTATACGTTACCTACTAAAGATAATTATTGTAATAGTTTAAATGTCTTTTGACTCTATTGCATGCATTTTTTTATCTTTTATGATTTGGAAAAGTTGCTTGGATGAATCTCTAAATTGCTTTACAGTATAAAAAAAAAAACCTTGTGGCCAAAACAAATTCTTATATATTGTTTTTCATTCCAAAATAATGACAAGACAAAAGCAATTTTACAATTCATGGAACAATAAAATGGAGAAATCACAGGAGCACAAGTAAACTAAAAGTTAAATAGCGCGTTTCATAGAAAATTTAGGTGTAGAAAGATGACGATCAATAAAAGCTCACATAAATAAGGAAATATTGGCAAATTAAAGTCTAACCTGCATTGGTGGTACCAGAACCACTTTTTTTCTCTTGTTTGGCTGCTTTAATAATTATTCATGCAGATTAGTAATAGACAACAATTATTCTGAATTACAAATTATTCCTTTATTGATTTTAATTGCAAATCTTATACTCCATTATATAATTTATTAGTGTAGGTATTGAATATTTCAGTAAATTTGAGAAAGATAACTTTCTACGTATAATATAATAAGATAATAGTTTGCTTAATCATGAAATTATGAAATATTAATTAATCAAAATGTATTGCAAATATAAGTGGACATAAAAATTCAATTCTTATCAAGATATTATCTACAAGTATTCTGAAATATAATTAATTTCTCAATCTTAGCAAGATGTTAGTTTTAATATTACGAAATAATTAAGCAGTAATTGAAATTAATTATAAAAATGTTGTTACGTTTACAATCTTTGTAATTATAAAATTTGCCATGTCTAATAATGGAATAAAAAGCTCTTTGTATGTGGCAAATTCATATTTTTGCAAAAGCAAAACTATTATTTAAATTTCATTGAATTTTAATCGCGCATTTTTGGATTTATAAAAAAAATACGTTTTTAAGAAAACAATACACGATTGGTGTATTAGCATATGAAATGAAGTAATTATTAGAATTATATCCTTCAATAAATCCTTCACTTTCAAAGGATACTAACAGTGATAGTTAAACTAATGATTTATCATATCATAATAAATTATTATCCATTTTAATAAAGAATAGCTTATCTCAGATAATAGAAGGCCAGCTTACCGCTATAGGTTTTCTTCTTTGGTAAGTCAGCTCTGAAAAACCTGAAGTGGAACCTACTGAGCGCAGTGAATGTAGTGACTGCCTAATAGAATTTCTTCTTTCAAGTCGTTCGATGCGACGCTTCTTCGATTTTGAAACCCAAAGCAAAACAGCAGTTGCTAATAAAGCGAGAGCAACTCCTATTGCACTTAGTACACCGACTGCGACGATGTCCTTCCTCCAAGAGAGAGGATCGATATAAACTCTGGGATCTGTCCGACGAATGATTTCATTTAAATATTTGCTCATTTATAACGCTAAACAATATTTATCGCCTTAATATAAAATTGAGTTTTTAATTCGACAATTAATTTTTTTGTTTTTTTTTTTTATGCAAAACTTTTATCCAATTTTAATATTTAAATTTGCCAATTAAATTAATTAATTAACAATTTACCCATTACATTAATTAATGTTGAACTTACCGATTTCGCAAACGAATGGATTTGGTTGACCACAATGGTCAATTTCAATCGTTTGATACGTAAACATCGTGCATTGATCAACTTTCTCGATCTGTTGAATCCAAACACGTTCGGAATAATCGAAGCGATCTTGTTGCTTCCGTAAGAATTTCCATAATTCGATGTAATCGCCCATTATGAAGGGCATCGATGCATTTGCTGACTGTTAACAATATAATCCATTAATCATTGAATATGAAAAATGGATCTTTATACATTGTATTAAATAAACAATTATTTTCTCTCGATTTAGATTGGATTTGAAATAATTAAATTATGAAAATAGAATTTTCCTCGTAACTTGGCTCGTCGTGCATTTTATAAAGCTATATTTTATAGGCATTTACAGATAACAAATATGATTTCCACGTGCTTTTTTTATCATTAATTTCCTCGAGGGATGCTCACCCTGCAGAAATCGCGGGCTGCATAAAAGTCCATCGGCGCTCCGACGTAGATGTAACAAGTGTCGCCGACTAGATCCCAAGCTGGGGGACATTTTCCGGTTAGCACGGACTGATTGTTCATGTGATAAGGCTGGTAGTCGACTTGCAGAAGCTCGGGCGAGTCGCCTCGATCGCGAATGCGCCCAGCCACCGCCAGTGTCTCGTTGTAGCCCCAGTAATTGTGACGTGCGTCAACGCTCGAACGCCACATCTCCAATTGGCTAAAAAGTATGATGGTAAATGATTGGTAAGATTCTCCGGGTGGACGCGTCTTTTGTATCGGACGTACGAGAAAAATCCAAGCTGGCGGATGAAGCACGTAAAATAACACGTAAAGCGAATGACAAAGTAAACAATATACTGACGTACACTTATAGAGATTAACGTACACTGGGTTAAGGAATACTGAAATTGCTTAATATGCTGCTGAAC